GACTCTAGATGTATACCCATGTACAATACACAAGTAATCTAAATTGAAACTCTACTAGTCTACACATAACTTGAACTAAACTTAAAACTACTTTTAAACTTAACTGGTGACATAATACACTATTACAGTCTACTACTTATTTACTAGATTTACTTTAACTTTAGACACTTTAGTCTAGTGAGACTCTAGTGTAAATATCTTGTCTTATATAAATATAGAATAATATAGATCCATCTATTCTATCAGCTAGGTCTAGATAGATCTCTAGTAGTACTAGTAGTAGTAGATCTACAGTCTATCAATTACTAATACTTAAATAATGAATTACTATAATCTCTTGAGTCTATATAAAAATACTTTTAATTAATTTTATTATTATAGTATTTATAGTGTATTGTAGATCTTTGTTATAGATCTACTAGTTAGAATTAGATCTATGTAGTTAAATGTAGTATCATACAATCAATGTAGATCTATGTCAATTGTTGCTATGAATCTATCTAATCTATGTGTTAAGAATCTAATCTAGCACAGTAATCTAGACTCTATAATACTCTTAACTTACAAATCTTATAAGATACCGACATTACTTCATTTAATTTAAAATGTCATGTACATATTGATTTAGTCTATCAGTATCATCAATAATGCCATCTTTAATAGTTTTATTTCTATACTTCTAATGTTCTACTATTCACTATTCTAGATAGATTTAATAGCTCTAGAATCTAGTTCTAGTTATTTTCTAGATCTAGAGATATAGTCTATTACTATTACTAATTGTCAGTATCACTCCATTATGTAGAAATATAATAATCATATTCCTTATCCTGTATTCAGTATATATATAATCTCTAGATCCCTGTTTGCGGTTTTCTCGCTTTGGCCTCCATGTTATTGTAACTCTTGGTATTAGTAGTTCAAGTTCATTCTGTTGGAGGACATACCCCACAAATCTCATACGACGTTCGGTCACAACCTCATTGAGTGGTCAAGTCCCATTTCGGCATAGGATTTCCTTTTTTTTTTTTGAGATACGATCTTTGTAATGACTCATAAGATCTGTTTCAGCCATTTTTGTTGAACCACGTTTAGTCTTGTCTCAATTTTGGCAGATGACTTCCATGTCTCACTTAACCTCAAAATCCCAATAAATATATCTAATAGAATTGGTCTAAAAATGATTGGTTTCCTTATAGATAAATGTAGGATATCTAATTTTTGGATGAGACATATAAAAATTATATATATATAAAGTGCTGTTAACAAACAAAATGTAGGCTCAAGGCGCTGTAATAACATTACAAACACAAACATGAGAGCTAAAATGGCATCTGTAGGAGACCTATCTCATTTTCATTTTATTAAATCAGAGCCATGTCCTTTTCAGTTTTTGCTATTCAGTTGTCTATCTTTATATTTTTAAACTTTAAAAAAAAATTTAATAATTTTTTCCTCTTAACTCTTCTTAAACTTTGATTACTCATTTCTGACATTGGACTTGGACTACTGGGTCAGGCTTTTAAAAGCTGTGCTAATCTGATGTTTATTCTGTAATGTGACAGTCGTGTATAATAGGCTCATGATCTTATTGCTTACTAATTACATTTTTTTAAAATTATGTTACAGGTTGGTGAAATTTGCATAGAGGAAAATTTTGAACTTCATCTGTGCCCTTTTTTCCTATTGGAATCTCAGTATAAAAAAATCAATTCTTGTTTAAAACAACCAAAAAAAAGCCTACAAACAAGTTTGCATCATCTGTTATCTCTTCTATAAGTTGTAAACATAATCCATCACCACAATGCCTCTCGAGTTTCTCTTTGGTCGTAAAAAGACCCCGGAAGAAATGCTGAGGCAAAACCAGAGAGCTCTAAATAAAGCAATGAGAGATCTTGATAGGGAAAGACAAAAGATGGAGCAGCAGGAGAAGAAAGTGATTGCAGATATAAGAGCAATGGCCAAAAAAGGTCAGATGGTAAGTGTCTTTTCGTGATGATTCTTCTTGCTCATTCTTTCAGTGCTGATCATTAGGTTCTCTTCTTCAACAATATTTCAAGAGTAGATATTTCTAACCCCCCACAATTCAATATATCCCTTTTTGTGACAAAAGTAAAGAATTTGACAACTCAGATCCAAATAATGTGATTCTTTAATAAGCCTAGTAAATTAACAGCCAATACAATTTTAAACACCTAACACTGACTGTACATATGCTTCACTGTAGGTATATATACTGGTCTCTCTGTCTCATACTGGACTCACTCTACTGGCCTGTCTTACTGTTCTTTTTAGATCCTCCAATGACCATATCATGGGTCTTTTACATGAGAAGTATTTACAAGTCTGCTCATAGTACGCAGACCTGTGTAACATGTAGTTGTAGTAAAGTAGTTTAGGTTTGGTCGAAATTGTGTTAATTTTAATAAAAATATTTGAAATGATTACATTTACTTGACTGTCATTAAGACTTGACATTTATTTTTTTTCAAATACAGGATGCTGTAAGAATCATGGCTAAAGACTTGGTACGAACCCGGAGGTATGTTAAAAAGTTCATTTCCCTCAGAGCAAACATTCAAGCTGTGTCCTTAAAAATACAAACCCTCAAGGCTAATAACACAATGGCTCAGGCCATGAAAGGAGTCACCAAAGCAATGGCAACAATGAACAGACAGGTTAGTTTTACCATAAGATCATTGCTTTTTACCCTTTTTTTTTTTTAATCCCTTAGTCAAGGAAGCTGTTTGTCACAAAAAACAGTTGCTTTTATTTCTCTCACCATGCATCTTTAGGGAGTTAAATGTGCTCACTTTATAAGAGATAAGATTATTTTATTGGTTCAAACGAGTGGAAATTCTACATGACTACAACTACACTTTTTCACCTATTGTTATATTAATAACACAAGAAAATAAAAAAAGAAAAAGCTTATATTAAGTGTATCAATTAGTTTGGATCAGTCGTATATTAAGTGTATCAATTAGTTTGGATTAGTCGTGTAATTAAATCTGTAATAGATCTAGACTAACAATAATAAATCTGTGCGATTATAAATTTTTGTACCAATTGTTTTGTTTAGCTCAATTTCATGCTTTTAGCTTTCTCAATATGCTATGATCCTATCACTTGTCTGTACCAGTTGGAAAGGGGTGAGTGGTGAAAAACAGGGTATCAGGGGGATCCTTTTTAAAATGTATTTATAAAAAAAGTGAACTACTTGAATTCCAACTTGTGGGCTAAATCCTTCTCAAGCCAACATAGTAACCACTCTGTTAGCGAAGAGTTAATGAACATGGAAGATTGTATAGTTATCTATTGTTTCTATTTCATGTTTGTGTTCGTTAAGATTCAGCTGACAACCTATAAAGGGGACTAATTCAGCTTATATCAGGAATTCAGTCACAATTCCTTTCCCTTGTTCGAGATACCAAACAAAATAATTTTTTTTTAATGATTCTTGTCTTGTCAGGCAAAAGAAATAATTGTGCAAAATTTCAGCCTGATCCAAGTTGTAAGTGTGAGACATCATGTGTACAAACTTTTTACCAGACAGACAGATAGAGTGAGTTGATATAAACTTTGTAAAAAAAAAAAATAACTTGACATTTGTTCTGTTTTTACTTTAGCTGAAATTGCCACAGATCCAGAAGATAATGATGGAATTTGAGAAACAGTCAGAAATTATGGACATGAAGGAAGAAATGATGAGTGATGCTATTGATGATGCTCTTGGTGATGAAGATGATGAAGAGGAAAGGTAAAAAAAACACAGCAGATAAAGTCTGTGTACTTGTGACTTGATGAAGCTAAAATAACAGATCTTTAAAGACATTTTAACATTTAAAAAAAAAAATATGGTTTATTAATTATTATTAGTTTGTTAACATTACCTATTTTTTTTGTCATTTTAGTGACGCCATTGTATCGCAGGTGTTGGATGAATTAGGGTTACAGATGGCTGATGAAATGTCAGGTATATTAATCAATTGTTTTTACTTTCCTAGACTGCCAAATTGTTGCAACATATGCCTAGATGACAGAACTTGTGTCTTTTGTAAAAAAAAAAACAATTGAATTTTTTAATAGGGATACAGTCAAATTTTCAAAAATATTGAAAAGCAAACAAATTTTGAAAACGAAAGATTTTATCATGAGAGAAACTTACAATGTTTGAGAGATGATTCTGTCTACTCCAGATACTAATAGTCCTACTTAATAATTATTGAGTGTGTTGGAGAGAAACATGGATTGGGTGGAGTGGGGAGAAAATAGCTAGTCCTCTCCTTTAATCCCCATCAAAAACATCTAAAAATTGCTCATCTGTAAATTTATCCATAAGCCTGCATTTAAAAATGAAAGATGCTTAGTTATACTTGTAGCAAGAGTTTGATTGAAAACTATTCTCAATCATGTCTTTTTAATTCATTTTATTTCCCCTCATGCTCAGGTTTGCCAAGTACAGGAAAAACTATATCTTCTGGGGAAAGCAGCAGGGCACCTCAAGCGGCCGCTGCAGTGGCTGACGCAGATGCAGATCTTGAAGCCAGATTAGACAATTTGAGAAGACAATAGTTCCGACACAAACCTTGTGTAATCTTTGTTGTGTACAGGCTTTCTATTTTAGAATCATGTCTATTATAAGCAACAATTAATTGTCTTTTATAATAAGTTTTGTTTTTGTCTTGTACACAAGTACTAAGACTAATCAATTATACCAGTGGTCCCTAAACTTTTTTTTATCCTACTTGGAAGTCCTCATAGACCTCTGGGGGTCTATTTAGACCACTTTGGGAATAACTGAATTAGTTTTTGTGTTAAATCCAAATTAGCAAAAATATGTTTTTTTCTTCAAGGATCTAGTTTTTTTTATATTTCAAGCAGCTCTTTTAATTTTAGCCATTCATTAATTAGTTACTTTAAAAGTTTGTTACATTGAACTATGTGTCTCCAGGTATTTGATAAAGAAAGAATATGCATTTTGTTTCTGTAGCTTCTCTTACTAGGATTTTTTTTTTTTTTTTAAGTTGATAGTTTTATAACAGAGCCCTGTAATTCTACCATAAGAAGTGAATGTGAAATTTCTTTTATTGCTCTGAGATGTACATGTGTGTGTGTGTGAAATAATTGTGTGTGTGTTGTTGCTAATAATTATTAGCTGCATTTTGATCTAAAACTATGAAGCTTGATTAAAATCTTGCATTATTGAAATATATGGGATCCAATTATTTATCTTTAGTTCAATTCATATTTTACCATAGACATAAATAAATATAGACTGGCCGACTTGCAATTTTGTGTACTTTATTATACAGCATTTATGAGCAGTTTAAAAGTTAAGTATTCATATCTATTTCAGCCATAACCTATATAAGTATTACATAATTTTCACTAGTGTTTTTTTTTAAATCTCTAAGAATGAAGATCATGCCATTTTTCATAATTCGGAAATCCGAATACAATAGATATACATGTTTTCAAGTTACTTCCTTCAGCCAGTCTATATTTATTTATGTCTATGTATTTTACATTTGTGTTATCTCCCCTTCTAGTTCTATAATTACCCAGACCATAACTTGATGTTTTAACTTTGTAAAAATAGCTTTATGCTTCTCCAAGTTGCATCCAGTGGCAAGCTTTAGTCATGCAGCATTAGGGGAAGCGGCTCATTTGGTCTGCTACTTTCAGCTTTTACTTGAGTGGTGTTTAAGTCTTGTGATCTGAAATGGGCTAGTTGTCAACTAGGTCATATCTTTGTCAGTGTTTTATATGTGTATGCCTTCTTTACTCATGCTGACCATCTGTTGTAAATATGTTGTTCTTTTTAATCCTTAAAAAGTATAAACATTAGAAGTACATTTTGTCATTCAATTGTATCTACTGCACATTTTATGTGTGTGTTTGTGTATATATATATATATATATATAATGACTAAGCAAAGCTTGTGTGTTATTCTTTGGAGAGAACCATTGAGTAAGCAAGAGGGGGAAACAAATTCTTGATTGTTCTTCCAGTCACTAGCAATATTCCTTATTTTTAGTAATAGACAAGCTAGAAAATTTACTTTTGTATTTCTATTAAGGTTCTATTTAAGAATAGTTAACAGAAAAGCAGTAAAGAGGGGAAAATAGATTTTATTAGGAAAAGTAGATGGTTAAAGTGGGAATATCTTGGTTTTAAAAATTTAATCAATTGTGTACTATTGAGATGATACAATTCTAAAAAAAAAACATCAGTAGTGCTTTGTTCCACTTAATAAGTGCTTTCTGTATATGTTCATTACCAGTTCATTAATGATGTTATACAAAACAGTACATGCATTGTTTTGTAGTTACATGATCACTAAAAGTGGCATTATTGAAATATCTATTCTGCACAAGGTATAGAAGTAAAAAAAAAAAATGAAATACAGTTTGACTATTAAACATTTATATTTATTCAAAAAAATATCTATTGCACATCAATTGTGTGTGTGTGTTTGCTCACCTCTACAGACTGTTTACATGGCCCTGGTTCCTAATTAACACAAACAGTATTCTGTTTAATTTTTATATTAACAACTACAGAAACTGAGCATCAACTGGGCCATGATTAGTTTACATCAGTGACACGTGGAGCACACTTCATTGGGAATACAATCTTCAATATGTAGGCTATATATATACACACTATATACTGAATCCAACATTAATATTTACCATCTGGCCAAGGAAAGCTATGCAAAGATCTGCATAAATATTGATTCATCAACACAACTATTAGACGTATTCAGAAAGGGAGAAACACTACCCTAAAGGCGCAGTACCTTGTACACATAAACTGACTGTATGTTTAAACCTAAAAGTTTATAAGACACAACACAAGTTTACAAACTAAACGTCTACAATTTATGTTTTTATATTGTAAAAATTACTTTAGAAAGTCACTTCTGTTTATTTGAAAAAAAACAACTGATCATAAAAAAAAAAGAGTTACACAATTATTGTGCATTTAGGTTAATTCATTTATATTAAATATACAAGCAGGAGTGGTAGCTGAGTGGTTTCCGAACTGGGGGGTCCTGGGATTTTTAATTTCTGAATCTTTGGGCACCTCTTAAGTTCACCCAGCTCTAATGGGTACCTGACATTAGCTGGGGAAAAGTAAAGGAGGTTGGTCATTGTGCTGGCCACATGACACCCTGCGTTAACTGTGGGCCACAGAAACAGATGACCTTTACATCATCTGCCCTATAAATTGCAAGGTCTGAAAGGGGACCTTTACTTTTTTCTTTTTCATCAAAATAGAATATGTCCTCCTCATAATATATTGTGTTAGACCCAATTTCACATTAAGTAATTTTCAGATCAGTTGAGCTCTGTATTGTTTTGTACACCCAGAAATCCATCACAGAAGAATGTTTTAAGAATGTAAAAAAAAAATGTATTATTATTAATGCAAATTTTTCACTTGAGAAATTAGTAGCAAAAAATTTACAGACACTATTTCAGTTTGTGAGATTGCTAAACAAACTGAAGGTGATGCATTTCTTTGTGAAATTGTGTACAATATTTTTATATCAATTTTATAGCATTTATGATATAATTTATTCTATTTTTCCTACTTTTTAATATCAAATATGGCTATTATTTACATTGTGGTTTATTAGCACAAAAAAGTCTCTTTATTGACCATCAGTCAAGTGTGCGTGATAAAAAGTTTTTAGTTCTGAGATTTCTGCCTTATCAAAGAGAGTCTCCAGTTGCTGTAACTCCATTTCTTTGGCCTAGAAATAAAACAAAGAATGACGACAAATAAAACAGGTAGTACAAATTCAAGCTTAGTTTGTGGTAACAAATTGAAGCATATGGGGAAACTTTTACATTGCTTATAATATGTGACCTGAAGTTTATCATAAGGTTTGCAATTTTTACATTTAGAACCTCCTTAACCAATTTTTATAACTCCGCCATAGGACAGTCCCAAGTCCCGCTGAGAAAAAACACTAGCTACAGAAACACCAAACAGCAAATTAACAGAATTCCCGGACCTTGGGAAGATGGACCTCCAGCTGGAAATTTTATGACGCATGTTGGTGAAAGCTAGATAACCAAATTACATTAATTCAGGAACAAAAGTCAGATTATTTGCAGACGATTGCATTATATATGGAACAATAAAAATAGCACAAGATACACAAATTTTACAAAGAAAATTAGATGAATTACAGAAATGGGAATCAAAATGGAGCATGTCTTTCCACCCTGAAAAATATCAATTATTAAGAAAAATGAAAAAAATTAATTCCACTTATCTTATTCATGGCAAACCAGTAACACAGACTAAAAATGCAAAATACCTAGGTGTTATAATAAATGAAAAACTGACATGAAATCCCCATATTGATGAAACTATCAAAATAAAAATCAAACAAATCATTAGGGTTTATTAAAAGAAATTTCTATAAATCAGATAAGAACATAAAACTAAAATGTTATTTAACCTTGGTTAGGCCAATAATAGAATATGCATCCTCTGTTTGGGACCCCTCAACTCAAGAAAACATTAAGAAACTTGAACAGACACAAAATAGAGCAGTGAGATTCATAACAAACAAATATTCACATTTGACTAGATTAACACCTTTGGTGAAATCACTAAATTTAGAAAGCCTTCAGGATAGAAGACTCAAAAGTAAAGAAGCAATTATACATAAAACACTGAACCATAATCTTCAAATACAAAAACAAAATCTAATAAAATACTCAGAAAGACACAAAGATAAAGGCACATTCCTCGTTCCATATGCTAGGACAAATTTGTACAAATGCTCCTTCTTCTCTAGTGCTATTAGAGCATGAAATGGGTTGTCTGAGCTAGCCAGAAAAACCAGTGACTTAGCAGAATTTAGGTCATTGGTTAATATGCATGACTAAATGCATGATGAGTAGGACAGAATCATCTTCTTTTTTGAAGTAATGTCTATATTATAAAAGATAAGATAAGAAGACAATCAGTGGGGCTTGAAGATGCACTTTAAAATATTTCAGTTTTACAGTTTTCTTAGCTGCTTATTGACTGGCTAGTTAATATAGACTGAACTGCGCAGCCACAGGAAATACTGTATTCCTCATTAATCTTCGGACTCGAAGACAAGCCTTCTTACTAATTGAATGGCTAACAAATGGACTTTTTAGGGTAAGACACTAAGACTACTGTAAGTCCAATTTTTTTTTAAAAAGCCTACAAATAAATTACCTTTAGTGTTCTTTGTAAGGAATGCAGCTTCCTGTACACTTCTACAGTAGCTGGATCAGAAACTTCCACCAGATCATTGGATGCTGTTATCTGGCTTTGTCTTTGTTTTATTTTATTCTTGCCATCAATAGTTAGATTCTGCCTCTCAATAGATCTCAGCATGGCATGCAGCTCTTCAGTACTGGTTCCTATTGAAGAATCTGGTAAGCAGACACATTGTGAATAGATGAATAAAATTAAAAATGAGAATGACAAATCAGTAAATTGTTAAAAATGATTGTTTGATCAAACAAAAGTCATCCTTCAAGGTAAATGAAGGGAGCACGAAGATGGGGTCTTGATATCCTATTAACAGCTGCTGACCGGGAAAAATGGAGGGATTTGGTTACGCTGTCACAGTAACCCTTACAATGAGAATTAAGGTTTTATTATGTATTAAAGAATCAAGGCAACTAATGTGTTGTTGTGCCAAACACTATTATTCATTCATCACTGGAAGCCATCTTGGACAGGAACACAACAAAAGACGCATAACTCACAATGACTAAGGGCTATAACTCACATATTTCAAGTATTAACATCCTAGCATTGTAAAAGCGACTCAACTGACTTTTAATTTCTGCAAGTATAGGATGCTTCTTGGTTGCTGGTGACGTCTGAGGAGAGGACATGCTGTCTAAAGACTGACAACTGCCATGTATACTGCCATCTTCATCATCTCCTTCACTCTCACTATAGTATGCAGCCGCAGAGGCAGAAGCTGTCAGTACAATGGTGATTTTACAGTCAAAATCTTAGTAGTTTAATCACAAAACATTTTTTTCAAATATAAACTAACTAAATTAGCTTTATTATATATATCATAACATTTAAACAATGAATCCATTTATAAACAAAATCTATGGAACTGGGGGAAAAAATCTATTCAAAGGTTTCCAGATCTGTTTTAAGAATTATTGTATGTGACATTAAAAATAAGCCAATATTGTATTCTTGATGTCGAGCCACCTCTGCAAAGATCAAGAGTAGATTCAGGATTCTCC